AATACCAAAGATAGGATGAATACACTTGATAAAAGTGGTATTTACAAATTAAAATGTGATGATTGTGATGCCTCTTATGTAGGTAGAACCTTTAGAAAGTTATCCACTAGGGTCTCTGAACATTTGAAAAGACCAAATTCTTCAAGTTTTGGTCAACACTTAGTATCCAGCAACCACAATTTTAACATCAATTATGGTTCATCTATCTTACATGACATTAGTAGAAAGAAAAACTATCTTGAGTTGGATTTATTGTAAGATTTGGAGATTACAAGGAAAACAAATGAAAACTCTCACTGTCTTAATACTCAAATTAATTTAAATTGTACTAAATTTAATCCTATATTTAAAAACTTTATTACAGCTTCACCTCGTAGAGGACCCAGCTCGACTGTTTAGACTTCATGCACTGAGCATTTCAATATTAATTTTAAAGTTCTTCCATTGACTGTGGATTCAACTGAACTACTTGGATTATAACCTATTTATATATTTTGCTTTCAATTTTGATTTTAACTTTTAGTAATTTAACTGCGTATTCAGATTTTCCTTTTTACAGTACTGATAGCGCTTGGTGGACCATTTTATTGTAGTCAACCATCCACTGTCTAATATATTGTTTAGTCTTTTCTTACATTCATACTTTATGTCAACTTCAATTGCTCTCAAACTAACATCCTAATTATTATAGACAGGTTTGAGTGTGGGATTTGGATTATTCAATCTACATAAAAATATACTAATTTTATATTTCATCAGTTGATTTCCTATAGTGGTGTCAGTTGGACCTTTGGTCAATACTTAGTTTCATAGAATTTTGAAAGGTGCAGATCACATAACTGTCCTTTACAAGTTGTCATTTGTCACATGTCATCTCAATATTTTCGCCAGACCGGGAGCCCATTCTGTCTCCGGCTTCTATATAACATGTAGCTTTTCCTTTTTAAAAATTTTAAAGTGTTTGTGTATTGTATTGTTATGTCCAAATTTACATGTATGACATTCTACCTACTATGTTCGATAGTTGCCTTGTATACCGTCAAAGTTCAATCCAATATTGTTAAAAATATCTTCTCGTAAACTATAAATACTTATTTATAGTCGTTAGTCAGCTGTATTTTTATTTTACCTTTCCTGTTCATTTACTAATTATTCTCGGTTTCTTCTTGAGCGACCACAGCCGCAAAAAAATTTTGCTAGTTGAGTGCACATCTTATTATATAAATCTAAAACTTGAAAATTATTAACTGTCAAGGTTGTGTCGGTGAATTATTTAAGATTGTTTTGTTTTGATTAACTGGATGTACATACCATCTAAACAGTTAACAATCCGGAATTTCTTAATAGGTGGAACGATTGATGATTCGCTAGTATTTAAGTTAAGCTGTTAAAATAGATACAAAGATATACTTGTAAGTAAGGATTTTATAGTCTTCTGTATTTGTTGGACATATATTTTTTTCTTGGTAAGAATGTAGGCAGATTGTTTATCAAAAGCTCCTCAAAAATTAAAAAAAAAAATAAACTAACAGACAAAAGTGTTTCTGACAGTGGGTGTTGGCTGACTGTACAACTTTTTTCCAATTTGTTCGGTCTTCCATCAACTTACGGTCAAATGGAATGTTCATTTTCCGGAGATCTGCTTGGATGTTATCTCTTCATGTTATGAAGTCTGTGCACGTGACCTGCCCATCTTGGGCAGGTCACTGTGATTTAATTTCTTGGACAATATCGGCGTCATTGTAGAGTGCTTTTAGTCTGTTTGAGTCCACTGTTGATTTCAAAGCTGTCAGACAGTGTATTATTTACACGTACTTTAGATAGTCCACCCTCCATACAGACTTTGGTCATGATTTGGACTTTGGTCCGAATGAGTTTCTTTGGTATTGAGAACTCCGCCATGGCATTCCATACTTGGCTTCTTTCTACGCTATCATATACCTGTCGAAAGTCTATGAAAAGATTGTGTATGGTTCTGTTATACTTCCATCCCTTTTCTAGAAGTTGTCTTAGCGTGAATAGTTGATCTAATATTGATCTGTTTGTCCTAAAACCGGCTTGATATTCACCTTTTCAGCATAAGGGATTAGTCTACTAAGAATGATATCTGAGAGGGTTTTATATGCCGTGTTTAGGAGTGAAATTCCTCTATAATTCGTGCATTTTGTTTTGTCCCCTTTTTTGTGGATGGGCACAATTATGTTGTGTTCTATGTATTTATGTTTTCCTTCCATCGTGCTGGTATCTATTCTGGCCAAAGTGTATTTTTGATGACACAAAAAGGTTGAATCGAGACAAAAGTTCAGCATTATCTTTGCTTTTATTTCTAAATAAAATCACTAACTTTTTTCATGTAATCTATTTTGGATTAGTTAATGTTCTTCGATCGATTATGGTTTTCTTGGCCTATCATTTCTATTCTTACTTATAACTAGAATTTAGCAGTGTTACTATGTGAGAAAGACCATCAGCATAGAGGAATCAATAGGAGACCTACAGAATAGTGCAATAGCTCAATTATGCAATAATTCGTCATTGTTTTTCGTCTGTCATCTGGCAACATTAATTCTTCTTCTTGTCTGTCATCTGCCAATGTCAATTCTGCTTTTTCCTATGTCACCTGTCAACGTCAAATCTTCTTATTTTTCTTCTGTCAAGTTATCTGGCAATTCTACTTTTCCGTCTGTCAAGTTTTCTTCTTATTTACCTGCCAAGTCATAAATCAATTTTTCTTTTCCGTGTGTCGAGAGATGAAAAATGAGGTTGACTTTCATATACATAGAGTGTATTGCATCATGCCAAAAAGGCCGTAATGACGTGATTGCTGAACGCCTTAACGTACAGAGTTGTGCGGCATATCACATGATAGGGTTTAACAAATACAATGCAACTACTAGAAATTTTAAGATAAATGGTGCTCTTCTTCTTCTTTCACACAACAACACCTAAACGGTTTATCACAGGAAGGCGTACGATAGCTCGTTGTAAAGAGAACTAAGTATGCAACACAATGATGTATTAAAACAAACATAGAAACTGCTCTTTTACTTATTTCTTAAATATAATATAAGCAATAGACACTATAAAATTTATTTTTCAGTAAAAAGCGGAATATTAAAAGTATATAGCACGTACCAAAGCCATTTACCTTAATTATAGAAGAAATTTTTAATCGGAAGGTATACCTATAAGTGGTAACAATTATCAATTATCTCTGCTCGTATAAACAAAAGATACGGTATTTGCGGAGACCATAACCACTCTAAGGAGACCATAACCACTCTTTTCTTTATAGTTTAAAAAGGCAAAATTATTAAATCAAAGGATAAATTGACCTATATATTGTAGCGGTTATATTTGTCTACCACATTGGGTATCACTTATAGGGGGTTGAAACTGGGGAGTGAACAATTACTAGGCTGGAGATAGTGCAAGCAAACAAACGAAACATTTGCGAACGGCCACTCTTGGTTTGATTGGAGAGCTGGGTCGTAAGTAAGTGAATAAAATAGGGACTGGATGGGGTAATTACCAACAAAGAAATCAAAAAATGCTTATATAGATTTCCTGGGCAACACAACACAAGAAGGTTCCTAGACTATTTAAAAAGGACGCCTTTTACAAGAATCTTCCTACTGGATGGAAAGGAAGGTTTTTCTTTCGTAAGAAGTATTAAAGGTGAAAGTCTTTGTAAAGGAAATAATTCTACACTTGGTTTAGAGAGAAAATTACATATTTATTATGACTTCATATCAACAGTTATTACAAATAATATTAACACAATTTAAAAACAAACTTACAATGGGGCTATTTGTAATAATTTACAACAAGCTCCAGACGTTGGGAACACTATAGAAATTTAAATTATTATTAAAATGAAAATATCCAGATTTTTCAGAGCTTACATTGAGGTTAACCTTTAGAAACAAAACCAATAAAATTTATGGTTATGTATCAATTGTCAGAAAAAGATAATACTATCATTTCGAAATGAAATATTTAACCTTTTAAAAAATTAATTAAATTTTTAAAATTAATTGCATTTACCTAATATGACAATCTGCTAATCCATAAAACTTTTAATTTTATTTATTACAACTTATCATGAAAGCAAATTTTTTTATTACAGAAAAATGTTTATTTTAACTTGGAAAAATGTTTAACAAAAGTGAAACCATATTGATCTCTTAAATTTTTGTAAACGCTCTTTTACAAATTTCCCACTTAGGACACAATACAGCAAATCGGTGATTAAATCAACAAAACTGCCACATTACATTTGATTAAATTCACCTCTCCACAAAAAAAAATTTGCAGGGTTATGAAGACTACACACGCCGAATCTTTTTCCTTCAAAATCTGTATCCAAACTTAACTCACTTTAACTGCTACGTGCTACCAAACTTTACTATTTCCGATAACGAAAACGAATCACGAAAAACAATAACGATTTAAAAAAAATCCTGACTCAAACAATAAAACCAAACGCCATGGCGTTCCATCATCGAGAGATGTCATTCTCTTCTTTGCAATACTCTCACCAATATAAGTGAATATTTATTTGACGCGCAATATTATGGCAATCAAAATTATTATATACAAACCAGAAATGTTTATATTATCAATCCCAACGATGCAAAAGGATTGAAAATATTTTTCGGTATTTTGATAGGAAATTTAATTGTAAAACTTTTTTGATGGTACAATTTTTTCTAAAATGTATAACTGCCGACTCGAGATATAGCAACAAAAAGAGAAAAACATTGAATTTTTCTGATTTTTCACCAATTATTTAATAAAACATTTAGCCCACCTTTTAAAGTGTACGTATACTTAAATTATAATTTCTAATAATATTTCAAAGCGATTAAAGCAAAATACTACGATCATATATTATATGATTTACATAACCCGAAACAGATACCTCCCGATATAATAGTTTTAATTGTTGTTACATATATGGTTATATAGGATTATAATATATATTTTTGTATTTTCAGTGTGTTACTGCATCCACAGCCATCGCTACTATCATCCCTTCGTCAACGAGTAAGTTCACTTTTAACCTTTAGCTAACTTAACAAAATTTGCTGGAAAATAGCTCCAACGGAATTAAACACTTTCTCTTAATCACTACAACAATACATACTTGGTATTGTACAAGACCGAATAATTAGTTTTAAATGGGTGTTTCACTTGTTATTTTGAATTAAAGAAAGAATTTCAGTTACATTGGTACGCAAGAGGAGTGTGTAGTGAGTTGCAAAATTACATATTTTATAACGTTAGTGAATTAGCACACGTTGATTAGTTGATTATAGACATTGTATATAGTGCAAAAAAATAGTTGAAACAACTCCTTAATTAGCGCAGGTACAATTTTTTTAGGCTTCGATTTTTTAAAACTAAATAAATTGAAGACCAGAAGAACAAAAAAAGTTTCTAAAATATGACCGAAAAATAGATTAAATCTCAATCAAAATCAGTGTGAGTAAAGAAAGCTAAAAGTTTTAAAATAAAGCAATAAAGCAATAATGAATACTTGTTACACATACCGCCCAGTATTATACTGTTACGTTTTTCTGTGGGTTGTGTGTTTTGTGCATCTACTGAGAGTTGCCCAGTCATCAGGATGAGCAATTTTCATTCCCGATCTTCTTTTCTGGGTTTCGATAAGGGAATGGTCGACATCGCATTCAATGTGAGAATGTCCAGAGATAATAAATTTAAGGGTTGATTTCATTTATTAAGCTTTTCATTTGCATTGCTGACATAAACATGGCAGTAACGTGGAAATTTTTATTCTGTCCTTCGGTTATTTTAGTGACTTCAGGTGACACGTTCAATATTTCTTTTAAAATACAAGAAGAAATCACATTTGCAATCACATTTGCACCACGGTGAGCAATTGATTCATGCCAGATTTAACATGAAGTTGTTCCTGAAGCACAATTATATTGTAAGTCCAATACTTTCTCTTATAAGAAGAAACAGAAATTTCCAAAAAAGGCGTTGACAGGCATTGCTGAAGATCGAAAGTGTAAGACAAATAAGACGTCTTGTTTGGCTTTGTCTTTATCCAACTGCTTATATTTATAAGACAAGTCTGCGTATCAATGTGGTGTGTTGTTAGAGAGATCTTCAACTGGCTCATTTCTTCCGTGTCTTTAATACAAGCTATTTTCATAATTAATTCTTCACAGGTACCACAGACATCAGTTTTAAGGACCTTACACTTTAGATTAAATTAATGAAATTCTCTTTTTTTATATAGCTCTTCGAACTGTCTTTTGACACATCTCAAGTAAAGTTGGTACATTTTCGTCAAAGGTCTGGATTTAGATACTGTTTATTTATTGACCCGCCTTGTGTAATGGCTTTAGTATTTAGGAAATGAATTAAGATGAACATTAACCTCTTGTAATCCTTCGTCAGATGTTTTATTAGAAGGTTTGTGTTTTCCTCTTCGGTCTTGTATGAACATTCCCATTTGGTTTTTAGGGCATTTTGTATTTTATCAGCTTCATCCAAAGTTGATTGAAAACATTGCTTACAAGTGTTACGCCGCTGTCCATTTTTTTGAAAAAAATAGATGTAAGTTATGTTTCTTTCCTTTGAACTTTTTGCCTTTTTTTCTATGTGGTTCAACTTTGGCTGGCGTGATGGAATTTGCTATAAAATATTGTTTCTTTTTATGACTTCCTAGTCCTCAATATTCTTTAAAAATGTCACTTCTCAGTTCTTTCAACAACTATTCCTTACATTTTAATCTGCAGTTTTTTAAGTCTTTCACCATGCGGTTTCCTTGAATTTTTACCTGTGCTGTAGCATATTCTTGGCCTAAATGTTGTTTTAAAGTTTTATCTTTTCTTAGTTTTTTGAAGTACTTCTTTAATACTTTGGCACCTATTGGCAAACAGCAGTTTCCTCATTATAGATAATGTTATTTTTTCGGAACCGGTTATTTAACATGTTGAAGTCAGAAGTTGTAAGGTCAATCAAACAGAGCAAATGGGGAAAAGTACCAGGTCCAGACGACATATACATAGAGGTTCTAACAATGTTGAGTGAAGACAATATAGACGCCTTGGTAGATCTTTTTATAAGATACATTACCCCATTAGCATGTCAGATACATTAGCCCCACACAGTTCGGTTTCAGACAAGGATTTGGCACAAGAGAAGTACGTTATAGCTTAACTGTGCTACTTCAGAAATACAGAGATCATCCAGAAGATGTCTTTCTATGTTTTATAGATTACCAGAAAGCGTTCGATTGTGTTAATCGTTCAGAATTAGTAAGATTGCTCCAGGAACGTTCGATAGATGAGAATGACCTTAAAATCATAAAGAAGCTTTATATGAATCAAGTGGCAACTTACGTTTTGCAGACGATACAGTAATAATTACGGATAACAACAATGATTTACAGAACGCAACGCCTTAATGAACGCTGTCATGAGTAAGGACTGAAGATAAATTTAAAGAAAACTAAATGCATGATCATGACTAAATCTGCACATGCAAATATCCAATTAACTATTGAAGATACTGCAATTGAGAGTGTTAATAACTATAAATACTTAGGAACATGGATAACATCAGATGTAGACCAAACCAAAGAAATTAAGACACGTATTGAAATAGCACGTACATCATTTATTAAACTTAAAAAGTTTCTTTGTTGTCGGGATATAAGGTTAGAACTACGCCTGAGAATGCTTCGATGTTACGTGTTCTCTACTCTTCTTTATGGTTTGGAAGCTTGGACACTAAAACAAGTTCATCTGAATAAGTTGGCCGCTTTTGAATTTTGGTGTTACAGAAGAATCCTACGAATATCATGGATTCAAAGAATGTCAAACGTGGAAGTAACTAGAAGGATAGGAAATGAGGCGGAAATAATATTAACTATTAAAAGACGAAAACTTGAGTACTTGGGACATGTGATGAGAGGGCAAAAATACGCATTATTACAACTTATTATGCAGGGCAAAATCCGAGGCAAGCGAAATGTGGGAAGACGAAGAATATCCTGGCTTAAGAACTTAAGCGAATGGTTTGAATGCAGTAGTGCAGAACCTTTTAGAGCGGCAGTCAACAGAGTCCGCATAGCCATGATGATTTCCAACCTTCGATAGAAGATGGAACTTAAAGAAGAAGAAGGCATCTGTGAGAGTAGGACTGGAATTTACATAATATTTCTTAATCGAAAAAGGTGTACGACAGGGTTGTGTTCTGTCACCCCTCCTTTTTAATCTTTACTCTGAAACGATTTTCGACAGAGCCTTGACACTGAATATAGAATCAAAATCAACGAACAGACTATTAGTAATCTTCGTTATTAGTAATCAGACTATTAGTAATATTCTAAACACTGAAGCAGAACGACTGGGCTTGAAGATTAATGTAGACAAGATGAAGGTAATGGTGGTTAGTAGAACACGAAATATGCAATTAAATATAAAAGTAAACAATAAGAACATCCAAAAGATCCCCAAGTTCAGATATCTCGGTAGTTGGATAACTAAAGATCTAGATCCAGACATAGAGATACGTAGCAGGATTGAGCAAGCCAGAACAGCATTTACTAATATGAGAATCTTGCTAAGCAACAGCAGCCCTAACTTAACGCTTCAATATCGCTTTATAAAATGTTAGACTTAAAATTCCCTGGACAGATCACACAACAAATGTCGAAGTATTAAATCGAATGGGCAGAGAACGAGAATTGCTGCCAATAACAAAAAGAAGAAAAACTGCTTATCTGGGTCATATATTTCGAAATTCCAAGTACCAGCTCTTAAAACTTATTATGGAAGGGAAGATAGAAGAAAAACAAGGCATCGGGAGAAAAAAATACTTGGTTTAAAAATTGGACAAACCTCGATGCCCATGCACTCTTTAGAACCACACAAGATCGAGAAGAGTATGCCAGAATTATCGCCAACATCCACTAATTGGATATGGCACCATAAGAAGAAGATAGTCTACGTGATATCAAATTTTTATTTTTTGTGGTAGTAATTTTCTTTATTTGTATCTGATATTTCATCCTTATCAGAGTAATTGTCTGAATTAACGTAAGAAGGATCTTTTACAGAATCATAACCATCTCAATAATAAACAATTTCATTTATCTTGGCCAAATCATTAATTATATTCTTTATATTCTTTTGTTCGGAATGTTTTTTCTCTTCAGATATTATATTTGTGTCAAATAAAGTTGTTAATTGGCCAAGAGAGTTAAAACTGGTTCGTTTATGCTGGTTTCTGTAACTTTGGTTCTTTTTCCTGGCAGTGTTTCACTTTCGCTTAGACCTTCACCAGTGTTTTCTTCTAAAAAGAAAATAATTATAGATTAGCCAAAAGTTTTTTCTACGAAAGCTTCTACCTACTTTATATTATAATTTATTGACAAGCTGATTATTTAATTTATTAATTGTGATAAATTTAGTATTAAAAGAATTACTTATGCTTTAAATTTATTTATAAATTATATTAATAATTTATGATAATGTACATATTTTTCACGAAGTTTGTTTAGAAATAAGATATAGCAACAAAGTATCTGTTATAAATATCTCACAAATCTATAAATTAAATCAAGAAAATAAATTATATCATATCGCTATAAAAAAGACCTCATTGTTATTCATACTAGACTACTTTCTTTTTGGACCAACAGGCACTAAGAAAACGTGACTATATTCTGGTTCACGTAAACTCGTTACATTAATCTAAAAAAAGAAGTATTGTTATATATATTACCTGGTCAGCGTTCACCGTAACCACTAAATTTTTAGATTCGAGAATTGAATTTGATCGTGAGTTATTTACTTTTTTTTAGAGCCATGTATACAGTTAGATTCCATACACGAAAAATATAACGTGACCACAACTTCAAAAAATAATAAAAAAGAAGAGGGGCAACGGGCCAACAAATAATACATTAGATAGGGTACCATATAAGGATTTTATTACTAATACGATTTAGCAATGCCTGTAATAGTACCAATTATATAAATGGTCTAAAACATTTTAAAATG